TTGGAAAGAGGCAGGAACAAAGGAAATGACATAGGTTGGGACACAGAATCCACAGGCCTGGTGTCAGGGCCCAGAAAATCTGGTCAGGGCATGTGCCTATGAGGGACGTCCTCAGAACCCATTCTAGCCCATGTTTCAGTTCCAGAGGAGAACCTCTGATTGGTTGGGCTCTTTAGAGGACAAGAGTCTGAACTTCTAGCTTTTTAAACTAGACTCCTGAATCTCTACCAACTTCCACCTCCAGGGCTGGGCAAAGGGGGTTCACCAGAAAGCAGTTTGAGAATGCGTATCAGACAGCCAAACTTGAATGCACCCCAGAGCGTCACTTTTCTGGGTGAAGCAGTGCCTTCTCTCTCTGAAGAACAATGTGAATCTGTCAAAGCTTCCCAGTTGGGGTGACCCTGGATCACTAAATGGCTTCCTGGTGGAGGGTATAGCTTAGCTTAGCTTTGCTGGGGGCTGGAGGTGGGTAGGACACAGGAGGTATCTTGGAGAGAGAGCAGAGTCCAGCGGCTTGCATATGGCAGCACCCCTACCCTCAGCCATGATAATGATGTGTCAGGCAGGCCAAAGTGGCTGGTGATGGGGCCCAGATCCCATGCCCCAGTCTGCTAGGCAACCTCTGGAATCCCCTGGGGGCTAGTACACCGGGGAGTCTTTCACATCCCCCAAGCCTCAGTGACAACACCAGCTCTCCAACCTTGCCTCAACCTTCTTCCTTGACAGCTCAAGAATCACGGAGTCTGTGCAGGGAAAGGCAGAGGCCAGGAAGGATCTCTGACTCCTGGGATGTCCCCACTGCTTGCTGCAGGGCAAAAACCCACAACTTCTATACCAAACTCCCCATCCCTGCTAGATAGAAGGTCTGCAGAGGGAGGGAGAGGGGTAGGAAGGAACTGGGTGTGGTGGTGGGATGGGGGCTGGTGGGTGAGGGAAGCGAGGCAGCCTCAATCGTAGACTTCAGGGCTTTGCCTCCAGAGTGGGAGGCGGTGTGGGGCTTCAGCCAGCCAGGAGGGGCCTCAGGGATCACTCTGAAAGGGCGGGTTAGTGGGTACTGTGATACCGTAGGCGGGGCCCGGGGAGTGTCCCATGGGGATACTGGTGATTCAGTCTCTCCTCCACCCTCCTCCCTGGGGCTCTGAGCAGACTTGCATGGTAGCACCTGCACGCGGGCACTCTGAGAGACCTCCAGTGAGCCCCCCTCATACCTCTTCCCCACTACTGGGCTTCTACCATTATCCTGGACCCCTCTCTCCCTCTAGCTCCAGGAGCTGAATTCATCCTCAGATTAGCGAGATTCTCCCAAGGTGCAAGGAAGAAACGCGGCTTTTGTTGATGACAGCAGGGTGTGCCTATCTGCAGGGTGTGCCGAGTATTTCCTCATCCACTGTCCACCCGCCCCTCCATCAGCCAGGCAGAGGGTGGGGACCCAATAGCATCTGGTTGGAGAGGGCAGGAGGCCACTGGATGTATTCCCCAGGCTCTCTTGCAAGGTTGGATGCCACCTCAAGGTCACAGCTCTTGCTGGGGCATCCTCTTCTTCAGCTACAGCTATTCTCTGTCCAGGGGCAGCGCTTCCTCTGGCTCTTCAGGTCTGGGCCTAATGATGCCTCCACTGCTTCACATCTCTTCTTCAGTTTTCTTCATTCTTCTAACTCCTTGGGGCACCTGGGTGGCTCAGTGGTTGAGCGTCTGCCTTCGGCTCGAATAGTGATCCCTGGGGTCCCAGTATCGAGTCCCACATCTGGCTCCCCATAGGGAGCCTGCTTCTCCCTCTGCCTATGTCTCTGCCTCTCTCTCTCTCTCTCTCTCTCTCTCTCTCTCTCTCATGAATACATAAATAAAATCTTTTTAAAAATTCTTACAACTCCTTGCTTCAAAACAAAAACAAAAACAAAAACCCTCTTTATTAAATTCTCCCAAATGGCTCACTGGTTTCCTGCCTGGGATTTACTGGCATCTAACCCACAGAGTCAGTCTGGGATCTCTACAGGGGCCCACCTCCCACTAGGAAATCCAAAGGTGACCAGCTATGCCTCCTCCCCACCCCAGCCAGCTGGGGCCTTTGGGTCTGGGACAAGAAGTGAAGACCTTAGTGGACAGGCTAGAATTCATTCACAAGAGCTGTGGCCAGTGGCAGAGATGGGGGTGTCTGAGGGCAGCAGAAGCAGTGATAACAGTTGTGCCAACTGTGGCAGTCCAGCCTGTCCCCACCTGGGACAGGACCTGCTGTTTGCCTTCCCCCAGCACCATGGCTCCTGCCCCATTCTCAGGGCCTCATTCTCCATCCTTCTGATCAGTTCCAAAGTCCCCATTTACCCTTTCAATGAATTTCTTTGTTACCTAATTTGGCTAGAATCCATTTCTGTTGCTGTCATTGAAGGGGCCCTAATTGATACAGGATTCCCTTTTAGGATTCAAAGGGATGTAAATTGTTACCCAGGACTCTTCCCAGCAGGTGTTCAGCTCTCTGATCCCTGGAAGACTCATAGAAAACAAATCTGTAGGGGCACCTGGATGGCTCAGTTGGTTGAGCATCCAACTCTTGATTTTGGTTCAGGTCATGATCTCAGGATCCTGAGATCGAGCCCGACATTACGCTCCTCACTCAGCACAGAGTCTGCTTGAGATTCTCTCCCTCTCCCTCTGCCTGTCCCTCCTGCTCATGCTCCCCTCCACTAACAAATAAATAAATAAAATCTTAAAGAAAAAGAAATGAAAACAAATCTGTAGCTTGGTCTAATCATCCTCACGGCTCCCATGAAGGTGGGTTTTTTATTGTTCCCATAACATAGCTCCAGTTATGGTATGAGCCATAAAACAAAAGTTGCCTTTTGTTCCTGCCAACTTCATCTTGAATTTCTGCTTCTCAGGGGAGAGGATCTGACTGGTTCATCTAATACTAAGCATCTGCATTGGTCAGGGGTGTCATGCCAGCCTCCCCCTCTTCCCCTGAAGAGTTAACTCTCTACTTGTCCAGCCTACCCACCAGTTTTCCAATTAGTTCTGGCCAAAAAGTACCCATATGAAGGAAGGAAGGAAGGAAGGAAGGAAGGAAGGAAGGAAGGAAGGAAGGAAGGGAGGGGGTTTTCTATCTCCCCATCAGATTGAATCACACCCTCCTCCAAAGCTTTCACACCTCTGTCTAAGCTTGTCTCACACTTGACCTATCCCAGAGTCTTCTCTGTCTTCTCCAAAAGGCAGATACATGGACTCTGTGTCACTCAGCCCCAGTTCAGCAACTGCATCTTGAAATGGTAAATAAATGCTCCCTGAATTCAACAGGGACCTGAATAAGCCTTCCTCCAGCAAAGGGATTGGGATGTGTGTGTGTGTGTGTGTGTGTGTCTGTGTGTGTGTGTGTGTATCTTCCTCTACACCCAGCACAATGGTTCACTTATAGTAGGAGTCCAATAAGTGCTCTTTGAATCTAGTAGAGAGCATTTATGGATCACCTACTGATTGTCAGATACCGTGCCGCTCAGAGGGAAGTAGCACCTTCTGAGCACTTATTTTGTATCAGGGACTGTGCCAGCCATGTTTAACCTCACAACAACCCTATGGGTAGGCACTATTACTGCCCCCACTTTACAGATGAGAAATATGAGGCACCAACAGACCATATAACTTGCCTAAGTATTAGAGCTATGGTCCTAGCCAGGCAGTCTGGCCCCAGAGCAGCCATGCTTAACTGCTTTACAATCATCAAGGTATTAACTTCTAGAATTAAATGAGGCATTCTGATGTGGCCATATCATTAAAATCTATTCTACATTAATCTGTCCAACTGACACCGTAACGGTCATGTCCCCACCCATCTCTTGGGAAGATAGGGCTGAAGTAAGGATGCCACTTCACACATGACTTGAAAAATAAAAAGCTGCAAGCCAGGTCATGGTGTTTATGAGGCCAAATGAAAACATTCTGTACCCTTCCATGGAGCAGATTAGCAGCTGTGAGTCCCAAAAGCAGAGTTGTGAAATATCTGGGCACATTTGTGCCTGTGGCACCAGGAGTTCCAGACCAAAGAAGGCACTAGCCCGTCACACTGCTGCCCAAGAGCCACAAGGTCTGTGCCAGGCTCTCCCCAGGAAACGGTGGCAGGGACACCATCTCACCCACCCTGGGGTGGTGTTTCCGTAGTAAGAGCCTCCAAGGGGGCTGGCTGCCTTTTCAGCCTGATTTGGTCTCTGTGAAAACATTTCCCACATCCTGTGGGGCAAGGCCTGCTCGCCTCTCCTTCCATAGACTGACAAGAACTGGAAACCTTCAAGTCCCCTGGGCCCCCAGGAGGACAGCCACATCTTGGAGTTGGCTTCACATTCATTTGGGGTGGAAAGATCTACCGGCAGAGTCTCATTTCATTCACTAAATGTTCCATGTGCCACCCTCAGTGGGCTAGGAACTTAGGTACTTCTTAGAATCCAAGTTCCCCAGCCCATCTTACACCTAAGAAATAGAAATGGTAAGGGGGAAATGGGACAGTGGTGTGGCACTCCCATCCTAAGCATTTGTAGTGCAACCAGGTTGCAAGTCAATCAGATGAATGAGACACATGGTCTCTGCTCTCTCTTTTCCAAAGTGAACTTAGAACATCCCCTCACATGCTAACCCACACATCAGGATCTCTGCTTCAGTTGTCCCCTCAGACAGGAATGCAGCTCTCCATACCAGGTCTCCTGGCTTGGGCTCACCCAACAGCATTGTTACATTCTGTGATTTTTTGATTCAGTGATGATCTGTCCTCAGCAGTCTGTAAGCGCAATGTTACCTCAACACTGAGAACCCAATGCTTATGTATCCAGTAGGTGCACCATAGGTGGCCGTGGAGTGAGTGTAGGCAGTGACACAGGTACTGACACAGATGCCAGACCACAGAAAACTTTGCCCTGTCCCCACTTCCTATGCCTACCCCACCCCTAACTTCCCCCAAAGCAGTTTCACCTACACCCCAACTAGAATCAAGTCCCATCTTCCCAACACACCACCAGACACTTGGAGCCAGAAGAGTCTAGATGAATTTATTGTCGTTCAAAGATTTCATAGAAACAGGAATGTAGCAACTGGATCAGGGTAGAATGAAAAAGTAAAAAACTGCAGGTTTATGCATGTTGCTCTATTTACATCAGGAACGGATGTTCTCACACATCAGGCACAGCAGCTGCACTTGTCCGATGCGCCTTTGCAGATGCAGCCCTGGGCACACTTGGCACAGCCCACAGGGCAGCAGGAGCAGCAGCCTGGGGCAGAAAGGCCAGAGGATCAGAGCATTGTCAGGGATCCTCCCCAGCCCCACCACCTCCCGACCCAGTCCAGTCCCCAGATCCCTACAAGACCCCACCAGACTCACTCTTCTTGCAGGAGGTGCATTTGCACTCCTTGCATTTGCAGGAGCCAGCGCACGTGCAGGAGCCACCTGCAAGGGAGAGAGGAGCAGTGAGCAGGGGAGCCATGTAGGAGCCACAGCAGTCGGGTCGCAAAGCCTCCCTGCAGCCTTGGGTCAGTGCCCAGGACTGGAGCTCCTTTCTCACTCGGCGCAGGGAATGGAAGCCAGGGAAGGAAGCCCCACTCGCTCGCTCCTGGAGCTAGGAAGGGTAGGTCCCCTCCCCTCCGGAGAGGGCTCCTCAAGGAGGGCACCAGGCTGAGGCTGGCGGCCAGGACCCCGGGTCTTGAGCCCTGAGGAGGCCAGGTCCCCACCTGCCATCAAGTCTCGGCAGCCCCGAGACCTGGACAGGGCACTGGGTCCCAGGCCAGCAGCCACCTCCCCCCCCCCCCCCAGCAGCAGGGGACCTCGACGTGACCGCAGCACCCCCAACTCTCTACAGTCTAGGCGAAGGGAGGAGAGACATGCTCTGCGGAGCTGGGCGAAGGCGCGGCGACCAGCTCGAGGGGACTCGGGGGTCGACTTCGGCCCCAGCTCCAAACACCTGCCCCGCCCGCCCCAAGGACGCAGGTCCGGGCCGGGAAGCGTGGCCCCCGGAGGCGCAGAGCCCGGGGTCCGTACCGGTGGAGCAGGAGCAGTCGCGGTCCATCTCGAGCCGAGGCGAGGCGAGGACGGAGGTCCCAGGCAGACGACACGGAGAGTCAGCGCCCGGGCTGGAGACGGGGTGCAGCGGGGCCCCGCCGGCGGCCTTTATGGGCGGTGCGGGCGGCCCGGGCGCAGAGGCCCCGCCCCCGGCCTTGCACCCGCCCCGCGGGGAGCGCGCGGCCCGCGGCGTCCTTGGCCGCGCTGAGTGCAGCCCCGCGGGCCGGGCGCACGAGTCCCCGCGGGCGGCCGAGCTCGCTGCGCCGCGTGCCCGGGGGCTGCGCGCCGGGTGGCCCGCGGGGGCCCGGCCCCCACGCCGCCCGCCGGTCGGTGTCCCGGGGTCGGCAGCGGGCCCCGGTCCCGGGTGTTCGGGGCCCCCGGCGCCTGGGTCCTCGCCGCCCTCCCCGCCTCGGCCCCCGTGCACCTGGTGTCCCCGGGGTCGCCGGTTCCCGGATCCGTGTGCAAACCCGGCCTCCCCCTCGTGACCTGGGCCTGGGGTGGGGGTGGGGGTGGGGGCGGGGTGGGGCCGGGGGAGGAGGGTGGGCGTGCGGAGCGACCCGAGAGAGCTGTGTGCAGAGGACTCGTGGCGATGTGACCTTTGCCTCCCCTGGCGTGTCTTCTCCGTGTCCCCACGTGGGGCTGGCCTTTCAGGGCCTTTCATCCTGTACACCGTGGGGACTGGACCGCTGCCTCTTTCCGTTCTGCACGGCCCAACGGATTGTGCAGGTCCTTCTTTGCGTTGAAACTAATGCTGCCCGGGGGCTGCCCTCCGGGGCACCTGACTCCTGGCCCGTTCCCAAAGAATGAGGTAACCACAAAGGAGGGATCCTTTTAGGTGATATAGAGACCTGGCTTTAAATAACAAAGTAAGAACAGTGGTTATTTCCCTTCAACATTCCAAGAATTACATAGTGTTTAGTGACCTCCCCCCTCCTCTCCCTGCTGGGCATAGCCTGTCTAGGTCCCTACCTTGCACCCTCTCCAGCCTCTCTTGTAGCCATCAGCCCGGTGAGCTCAGGCTTCTGGCTCCCTTCCTTTCCTTCTACCCACCAAGGTTGAAGAGATGTGTGGGCACGTTTGTCCTGGTTCTCCTATGCCTAAACTTCTAGATGCTTTCCTGGGCCCTGCTAGTTCACCCCACTCAGGATGGAGGTTCCCCAAGCACGGGGTAACCCCCTCCGAAAAGGGTTCTTTTTAGATGATAGGCCAACCTGGCATCAAATAACAAACCAAAACAACTGGTTCTGTCTCTTTCAGTATTCCTGACAACTACATAGTGTTTAGTCTGTTCGAGTCTTTTGCTTATCACTTGGCTATTTGAACCCTAACAGCAATCCTAAAGAGTACAATAGTTATGAGCCAGTTTCCCAAAGGCAAAAGTTTAAGCGTAAGGAGTTTAAGACTACTAACCCAGGGTCACAGTGCTGGGAGGTGGTACCCTAGATCTGCTTCCAGCCACTCCAGGAAGGAAGGAAATTAAATGATAAAGCTTCCCTTGCGCCTGGAGGTATGTCTTTTGTACCTCTCTACTGTTTCAAGCTCAATCCTGGGAATGACAAAGTGATACAAAAGGTAGATAGATAGCTAGATGGATAGATAGATGGATAGATATGATTTTGTAGCAACTTTCAGTGACATGAGCAGCCAGTTGAGGCGAGCAGGTGAGATCAGCTGTAGTATATAGGTTTACAACTCTGACTAGGAGCTGTGTGACCTTGGGTAGTTTGTTTAAACTCTCTGGAAATTGGCACAGTCACTTCAGCCCCTGCATGTTCACTCTCTTGCTGGTTCTTGTTCAGATCAAATGACATAAAGGATAGGAAAGACTCTTGTGTCTGTCCAAATGCTGTGGCACTATCCTGTCCTGAGGGGCTTATTGCTGGTCATCCACATTCCTCCTGACCCCAGGTCAGCAAGTTTCCAATTCCATCTCTAGCCTCTAACCCAGGGTAATACTTCCAAACCAATGAGCCTTCCCCTGGAGTTTGTTGTGAGCTAAAAGTAGTCTCTCTCCACAAATGTCAGTGTGAATGTATTAGTGACCATAATAGCCAGTGTTTATTAAACCCTAGTTAGAAGCCAGGCCACTACCTCATTGAATTTCCCACATTGCAATATAATCTCCTTTCTATAAATGAAGAAATGGAGGCTCGGCTGTACCAACAAGTTGCCTAGTTTGTCTGGCCAGGAAGAGGCAAAGAAGGCTGTGAACCTGGCTTGCCTGACACCAGAGCCCATTCCCTGGACACACACCGCCTCCTGAAATCCCCATTCATACCAGGCACCTGTGGGCAAGCACGGTCCTGACTCCAGGTCATATGATGCCTTTTCCCTTTGATTGAACATCAAATAGCAATTCCCTCCACAAATAGCCAGGAGGACTAACCGTTGGCATTAATTACAAGTCACTCTGGGCCTCACTCCTGCCTAATGAACACCACCACCCCCTCAAGGGCAGAATCCGCCATCACCCTGCAGAGGCAGACAAAGTACTTCATCTGGAACTAGTTCTCGGGTACCCTCCCTCTTGCTGGGAAATGGCTGGGCACCAGCCAAAACCCGCAGATGCCCTGGTGGGATACTGAGGACAGTGCTACTTGAGGTGGTCACACATCCTGTGAATTGTTTCTAGTGCTCAATGCACACCTTCAATGAATAAATATGCACTTTACAATTTTTAAATGTTTCTCATATTTACCGAAATTTATTGAATAAAAAAATGGGTTTCACATATTGTGCCTTTAAAATTTTTTGTTTATTTTGCCAAAGTTCAAATCTGCTAGAAAATAAAAATGGGTCCCTTGAGTGTTTTAGAAGCAAGCCCTGTATATAAAAGTCTCACAAGTGGAGAATTGAATTCCATCCCAAGCACTGTAAGATTTTAAGTAATCTCTCCACCCAACATGGGGCTTTAACTTAGAACCCCGAGATCAAGAGTCCCACACTCCAACTGAGCCAGCCAGGCGCCTCTCCTGAGTACTTTTGCTGAGGATCTAAGTGTGGCGAGGAATCCTGAGAATAAAATAGAAATTGAATTCTAGATCAACACTTCCAAGGAGAGTAGAGGGAAACCGTGTCCACCCCATAACCCTATGTCATCCAAATCTTCATTTTCAGTCAAGAAACTGCTGGAAAGGTAACTTGACTTGCATAAAGCAGTTTGTTAGGGGCCAATACAGGAGTCCAGAACCCAGGTGTCTGTGCTTCCAGTCCAATGCCCCACCCCCACCACAATGGGTTTGAAGTTCCTATTTCCAAAGCACACCAAGGAAAACAGCCAGAATAAATTCAACAATTTTTAATTTAATTCATGTATTTTATACAAACAGGAATGTAGAAAACAAGTCAGAGTAATATGAAAAAAATGCTTTAAAACTGCAGGTTTGCACATGTTGCTTGCTCTATATACATCAGGAACAGGTGTTCTCACACATCAGGCACAGCAGCTGCACTTGTCCGATGCGCCCTTGCAGATGCAGCCCTGGGCACACTTGGCACAGCCCACCGGGCAGCAGGAGCAGCAACCTGAGGGAGAAAGACCAGAACGTCAGAGCATGCCAGAGATCACCACACCCCCCTGCAGGCCCAGCCCAGGTCCTGCCCCCAGCCCCAGAGGACCCTGGCTTGAGGATGGCATGCTGTCCCTAGACACCTGGGTCTTACCCATTAGGAAAAGGCTGCTCTGCCCCCATCCAATAGCAGGACAGAGCAGAATGCCTGGACAGTGACAGGGTTTCCAGGGACAATGTAGGTTAGTCCCTTGTCCCTAGGACCACAGTGAAGTGAGGAAAGTCCTCAAGAGAGGGGGCACCCCCTGCCTAGCAGCTCCCAGGAGGGCCAGGGAAGTACTGCAGTCACCAAACTCACACAGTGCTTCAGTATGAAAGGGATTAAGAAAGCTCAATGGGCAGGCAGGAGACCCAGTTCTAGTACCAGGTCATTGCCTTGATTGGTGGGAACCTTCTGGGCTTGTTTTGTTTCCCCGTTCTAGGTTCTAGAACGGGATTGGGGCTCAATCATGTACACGCCCTTTTGGCTCCAATTCTGGAGTCAAGGGCTCAAGGCAGGGGAGGCAGAGAGGCTGGGTCAGCTCCTGCCTGCTTACCTCTGTGCTCCCCCCCACCCCCGCCCTGACCCAGACGTCACCGCAAATCCCCACCCAAGACCCCACCAGACTCACTCTTCTTGCAGGAGGTGCATTTGCACTCCTTGCATTTGCAGGAGCCAGCGCACGTGCAGGAGCCACCTGCAAGGGAGAGAGGAGCAGTGAGCAGGGGAGCCATGTAGGAGCCACAGCAGTCGGGTCGCAAAGCCTCCCTGCAGCCTTGGGTCAGTGCCCAGGACTGGAGCTCCTTTCTCACTCGGCGCAGGGAATGGAAGCCAGGGAAGGAAGCCCCACTCGCTCGCTCCTGGAGCTAGGAAGGGTAGGTCCCCTCCCCTCCGGAGAGGGCTCCTCAAGGAGGGCACCAGGCTGAGGCTGGCGGCCAGGACCCCGGGTCTTGAGCCCTGAGGAGGCCAGGTCCCCACCTGCCATCAAGTCTCGGCAGCCCCGAGACCTGGACAGGGCACTGGGTCCCAGGCCAGCAGCCACCTCCCCCCCGCCCCAGCAGCAGGGGACCTCGACGTGACCGCAGCACCCCCAACTCTCTACAGTCTAGGCGAAGGGAGGAGAGACATGCTCTGCGGAGCTGGGCGAAGGCGCGGCGACCAGCTCGAGGGGACTCGGGGGTCGACTTCGGCCCCAGCTCCAAACACCTGCCCCGCCCGCCCCAAGGACGCAGGTCCGGGCCGGGAAGCGTGGCCCCCGGAGGCGCAGAGCCCGGGGTCCGTACCGGTGGAGCAGGAGCAGTCGCGGTCCATCTCGAGCCGAGGCGAGGCGAGGACGGAGGTCCCAGGCAGACGACACGGAGAGTCAGCGCCCGGGCTGGAGACGGGGTGCAGCGGGGCCCCGCCGGCGGCCTTTATGGGCGGTGCGGGCGGCCCGGGCGCAGAGGCCCCGCCCCCGGCCTTGCACCCGCCCCGCGGGGAGCGCGCGGCCCGCGGCGTCCTTGGCCGCGCTGAGTGCAGCCCCGCGGGCCGGGCGCACGAGTCCCCGCGGGCGGCCGAGCTCGCTGCGCCGCGTGCCCGGGGGCTG